AATACAAATTCCTTTAGCTTATAATATTTAAAACACTAGATAAGGGATAGGATGGCATTATCTCACCACTCAGCTAAAGCTGATAGTTCATATCAGAAAGCAGTCATGTAGCCAATGACCATGAACACAGCATTTGTGGGCACTGAATCTATCAATGATGACACAGTACCAATATGCTACGAAGCACTTTCAAAATTTTTATTTTATGTAGGTTGATTTGTATCAACCCCACACAATTACAGTAACATGTCTGGCAAAGAAAGTCAGTTCTTCTATTTCCCCTCCCCTGCTGTGGCCTGGGAATATTAATTCATTGCCTTTCCCATAATCTCTCATAGATACAGTTGAAGACTATAACATCAGGGAAGAACCTGAAATTCAAGTTTGATTCCAGCCCTTTTAAAAAATGTCATTTAATAGATTTTCACATCAATATTTTCTGTACCTGGAATTTAATACCTGGATTCCAATTCTCTTAACTGAGCTACTTAAATACAATTATGTTTTCAGATCATACTGATTTAACTTGGAAAATAAATGAAAAAGAAAAAAATTCCTGAAATAACATAAGCATACCTGGGCCATCAATTCCTCATCTGTAGAATGAAAAAAATCATTACTTTTCTTATAAGTGCTATTTTGTAAAAATACTTAAGGTGTTTTTAAATACCAAATACTAGTGGTCCTCAGTCTGATTTGTGATACAACTGGCCTGTGAATATTTAAAAATATTAGGATCCCTGACATTGTATTCAAGACAATTTAGTTAAAATACCTGCATTTGAAATTAGTGTGATCCTTTTTTACATCAATTTTGGGAACCACTGCCTATAACATTTTCTGACATTTAGAAATCGCCATCAATATTCTTCATTTTTATCATCAATAATAAGCACTACCCATGTTAGAATAGTAAACATTTAGCAATATGTGCTTTAGAACTAATATTTTATAGGGAATTGAATTACCAGTTATGAAATTTGTACTTGATTATCTCTACATAATTCCATTTTCCTGCATACCTGCCACCCAAAGGAAAGTGCTATCAGGATTAAGTGGTCTTATTTTTATGTCAATATACAATGTCCATACAGATTTGTGTTTCCATAGGCAGTTCTCTTCAGCGTTCACCTCAACAGTACCTGAATCTTATCTAGGTAGTGTACAACACAACATCCGTGGTCCCTCAAATGTACAGTGTACATCTATATGTACACTTAAGTCTCTCTGTGAAGTATGTTTTCACTAATGCTTCTGCATTACCTAAAGGAGAAACATAATTTAATACACAAATTGGGGCAATCTTTTCAAAATCCTGTGTCTCATGAAAATAAGAAATTCTACATAGTATGTGGGCATGATGGTAACTTGAATTTCAGTAATTGATACATGTTGTATTTTACTATTAATAACCTATGTTGTTTGTCTCAATAAAAATGAGTCCTAATTGAGCCACTTGTCAAAAGAAACAAACTTTATTTTTAGAACACACACACCGCACCACACAGCTCCTCAGGAAAACCCTCAGAGCCCAACTGCCACCACCGGCTTCCCACAAGCCTCTCAACCTCCCCCACCCCTCCAGCTCTTGAGGCCGATTGGCTGGGTCACATGGGCAGAGCCAAAAAAGTCCCCCAATGAGCAGCTCCGTGGTCTGAAAGGGCGGGGAAACAGCCCAATGAGCATCACCGCAGAGTAGCCAATCAGTTGGCAGCTAGAAGTTTGCTGGGGCCCCTGTGAGCCAATCATCAGCTGGCAGCTGGAAGTTTGCTGGGGCCCCTTCGGCTGTGGCTCTCAACATAATACAACAACCTATTACAGTTAAATGTGTACTGTCAGAAATGTTGCTTATGGGTATCTAGTGATAGCCCTTGCATGATTATTGGCTAAGACATTTCCTCTTGTGTAGGTAGTAATATTTCCATTTGACTCCAGCAGAGGGGACAGTGACCTGGGATAGGAGTAAGGAATTGGGGCAATCTTTTCAAAATCCTATTATATGCAGAGTGGGTACAAATCTTCCCATCTCTCAGAGCACAGACTGATTATTGAAAACAGGTACTAAAACACCATGTATAAATCCTGTAAGGGAAATTTGGAACCTAATTCATATTTGGTCATTGTATTATTCTTTCCTAATAATTTTTTTCATTTTAATGGAAACAGCAGGTTTATTGATGAAGACAATTGTCAAAAGTCAGTGACTCCAAAGTGTGAATCAGTTCAGACATAAAGATTATTTGTCCGTTTCTCTTTCTCCTTTTTTTTTTAATACCCACAAGTATCCCCACGATTACATTTGAAACATTGAATAATGTAGACGCTGGTAAATAACAATTTAAAGTTCATGTGTTCAAGATACAGGCACAAAGAAGAGCTATAGTTCTTGGTTTTCTCTCAGAGTTATTCTGTTGGACATTCTTGAAAGGAAAGAAAGTGTGGACAGGAAATCACCAGGAGTGTTAATGACATATTGTGACTAATTTTTGTGAACCAAGGAAGAGTCTAGTAAATGTTTAACATAGTTTTACCTTGCTTGATGGTTTCTTTGTGGAAAACAAGGTGTCATATACTGCAGAATTAGGAATGAAAGGGAATTAGCATACCTCTCCAAACAACATGGCTTATATTTGTACGAGGGCAAAACGACATGTCTTGTTTCAGAAACAGGGAAATAGTCACTACAAATAACAGGATATTATAGTTGAATGATATGCAGATTAACCCTATCATTAAAAAAGTAACAATATCTAAATTGTATATTCTTATTTGTACATTTATCAAATAACAATCATCCAAGGCACACCCACATCTGTTTAATCATTCTTCAGTGTGACAATGCTGAGTTTCAGAGATGATAAGTACCTGCCCTGTTTTGCATTGGAGGATCCAATACAAGGGGGACTGACAGATTCAAACATTAATTGCCGGGCTCTGTGTCTGATACATGGAACTTTTCATTGTTTACCATATATTTTAAAGTTTCAAGCAGATTTCCAGTGATCTAAACCATAGGAGTCCCTGTGGTATATTTTTAAACTCTGGTCAATTTCCTGAGTAGGAAGAAAATCAACAGTAAACTCTATGACAACTTTTGAGATGGAGTGGATAGATTACAAGATGGCAGAAAGATTTGGACAGCTGCAAGGATATCCCAGAGAGGAGCGAGAGGAAAATCTGTGCTGCTTGGTCATGTGCTGTTCTTTCTGTGGTCTTTGTCTGTGATCCTGACCTGTCCTTCCCATACTTGATGGACCTGGGTGGATGTATGTCCCCTACTGCTCTCCTCTGTGACTCATCAGGAACCCCCAAAGGGAAAGGCACAGAGAGCAAGGGGTGTCTTCCTGAAGTGACAGAGAAGAGGAAAGTCCTCTTAGGTTTTTAAGAGGAAAATCCTCCCAGAAGATCCTAGCATCAATGCCCTGGTCTGTGTTCAGGCAGACCAATCCAACCCTCTTCCTTCTTTTCTAACAATCTGAGAGTTGTTACCTCAAAATGCTGTATCCTGGTGCTGTATGTAACTAAAAAAATAAATTTTAAAATGCTGTCATTCCTCCTTCTGTGGAAATAGTGTGTGTACTTATGGCTTGGGGCCAACTATGCAGCTGACATGAAATGGAAAGAGCTGCCCAAACTTAGCTCAGAGCCTAACACTCAGCAAGCCCTCCAGCATGGTGCATGGCATTTTTCACAGCCATTCTTCTTGCCACCTTCCCCTTTGTAATCATGCTGGGTACATAGGTCACAGTACAGAGGGACCCACTGATGGTGGGAAGTTCACAGCCAGAGTTACAAATGTGAGAGGAGAGCCGGTCTGTGAATGAGTCTGGGCTCCACCACACATCAGAACATCAGCCTCATACTCCTCCTCCCATCTGTCTGCACAAACTCACTCTTAGACCTAAAGATGGAGAAACAGCATTTCCAACAGGCCCTCTTCCATCCACCATCACCCTCAGCACTTACTGGTTTAAGCTGCTTCTCTGCTCGGTCATGACTAAGGAAGGAAGATCCAATGCTGCTGGCCTCTCTTGTGCCCAGTGAAGGCTCTGTCTCTGTCTTCAGGCTTGATATGAGCACAGTGTCACATATGAGCTTCCTGATCCCAAACAACCATGAGAGGAGGAGGCACAGGTATGGAGCACATTCAGCTGGAGCCACCAAGTGGAAGGGCTGGAGGTGCAGGCAATTATTTATCATAGCATAACAATGGAGCTTCAATGCACAGAGGTCATAATTAGCAAAATTTGTCCATGTTGCCCAATCTCTAAGGGCTTCTTTATATTAGTGGAGAAAATGTAAAAAAAAAGAAGAAGAGAAGGAGGAGGAGGAGAAGGAAAGGGAGGGGGATGAAGAAGAAGAATAAATGAATGCCCACCAAAATTGTTATCTTATACTTTCTGTTCTAAAGGAAGTTCTATGGGCTATTTGTTGGATTTTAGTTTTTATTCATTTTTATTTTTATTTTATTTATTTATTTTTGTGGTGCTGGGGATTGAACCCAGGGCCTTGTGCATGTGAGGCAGGCACTCTCCCCACTCAGCTATATCCCTAGCCCTATTTGTATTTAAAAGAACTATCTGTATTTTATTTTTGTTGTTTATTGTGGAAAGAGATATCTATAAAAACTGTAACATTTCATGTGCACTATGTATTCAACCCATTCACCTTGTTGTGCAGCTATAATCAACACCCATTTTTAGAAATATTTTAACTTCCAAAACCGAAACTTTGTACATTGAAAAAATTTCACTCCTCTGTATCCCAACACTGGCAATGGCCATTTTACTATTAAATACAATGAAAAATTAAGTCAAAAATCAACAAAAAATGATATAAGGAATGAGGAATGGCTAATAGGTATACTTGTTTAATTTTGCTGCCAACTCCAACCTACATTCAAAATGGATGTCAAAGATTGTGAGATTAGACCATCCTGCTCTGGATCCTCCTCAGGGCACCTTTAATGTCCTTTTTTCTCAGGCTGTAGATGAAGGGATTCAACAGGGAGTGACCACAGTATATAACACTGAGGCCACCACACCCTTTCCGGGAGAATGTGAGGTAGCAGAATCAAGACACACTCCAATGGCTGTTCCATAAAATAAGCCACCAACTGCCAGGTGAGAACCACAGGTGGAGGAGGCTTTGTACTCTCCACCTGCAGATGGGTTTCTAAGAATGGATGAAACAATTTTATAGTAAGAGAAAATGATCCCTGAGATGGGGAAAAATCCAAAGATGACTCCAATAAAATACATGACTATGTTGTTGGTAAATTTATCAGAACAAGCAAGACTAAGGAGTTGAGAAGGGTCACAAAAAAAATTTGAAATGTCCACATCTTTTTTTTTACCTTTTAAAATGTAACTTTTATTCACTGAACAATAGGTTTGGGGGCTATTCCCAAGTTGATGGACATCTGAATCATGTTAATCACTGTACAGTATTTTTTTTATTAGTTGCTCAAAACATTACAATGATCTTGAAGTAGGAAAATTGTAAGATGATCAAGTGGTGGAGCTGGGATTCAAAAAGGCTAAACAAAACAGACACCAAAACTAAAGAGCCACAGAGGTGAGGGTTCATGATGACTAAGTAATGCAAGGAGTGACAGATGGCCACAATCTAGTCATAAGCCATCACAGTCAGAAGCATATTATCCATGTTTATGAAAAAGATAAAAAAGGACATCTTTGTCAGGCAGTCTACATAAGATGACTGACTGTGATCTGAGTTTGGATGTCCACAATCATTTTTGGGACTGTGGTGGAGATAAAGCAAATATCAGCCAAAGAGAAATGGGGAAGGAAGAAGTACTTGGGGGTATGGGGGTGGGAGTCAGAGCTGATGGCCAGGATGGTTAGCAGGTTTCCAAGCACTGTGACCAGGTACATGGACAGGAACAGTCCAAACAGGATGGGCTGTTAGTTTGGGTCCTCTGAGAGTGCCATGAGAAGGAATTCTGAGACATGTTAGATTCAATGCTTCCATATTGCTCGGACATCTTTTGAAATAGGAAAAACTGTTTGGAAAAGTGATTCAAATAAACAGACATACAATACTCTGTACATAGTTTTAATTCAAATATTGACATGTATTCACATTTGGTTTCCATAAACTTCAACAATATTTATCATTTGTAATCAACACAAATTTGTTATCACTCTTTCCTTGTTTATTTTTGTTTTTCATATCTTTCTATGCATGCTTACTTTATTATTATTTAGATATTATTTTTCAGTGATATTAGGAAACCAAGAATATCAGAGGTAGCTATTTCATAAACACAGTAAAAAACAAAGTATTCCTTAGATAACATAGCTACTAAATATTCTTACTTGCTTAAGGAAAAAATTCCAATTAAAGGCAATTCAAACAATTGAATACACCTTATTTTTCTAAGATAGTAGTACTTCCCTTAAATCAGCATATTTAATGTTTATAAACATTTTTCTATGATCTAGGACAACATTATCTAAACACTTTATCTGTGCTGATAGTTCATAATCAGGAAACATTATTATATACCAGTTTTCTCCTAGAATTTTTTCTTCATTATTGTTTTCTAATTACCTTCCTTTGTGGGTATAATTTGTCACTCATTCATATTTTGTTTTTGTTTCTTAAAAATCATTTAATATGGGGCTGGGGTGGTGACTCCGTGCTAGAGCACTTGCCTAGCTTTTGTGAGACCCTGGGCTTGATCCCCTGCATCACATAAAACGAAATAAACAAAATAAAGCATTGTGTCCATCTACAACTAAATATATTTAAAAAAAAACATTTAATATATGTCCCTTTTTTTACATTGGTGGACATCAACATTTAAAAGAGTGGCTTAGTTAAATGCATATCTGACATCTATTAACACAAAGGTGACTTTAGTGTACGGTGCACCTATCAGTGAATACAAAATACTAAAGTATGAAGAAACATAGCAAGAATATATGCTTGCTTTTCTCCTTCATTCTGTGTTCAATAATGGCCTGTTCACACAGGGAAGTGGTTTCTGAAAGCTTCACCCAACTTTTAAAAGTGGAGGACTTTAGTGTCAGTGAAGATCACAAAGTACAGTTTGAGTCCCAACCTTATGATGGGTCTATGCATTTCTGGCCAGTTCTTCCTGATACATGGTTTGCAATTCTCTCACTTCAACTACCCTTAGGTTTATTATTTTATCCGATCAGACTATGACTTAAAAGGAAAAAGTTGAAAAAAAATTCAGGAACTATGAAAATATGCTGACAGCTTCTTCATCTGTACAACAGGGATAATAATTACCTCCTTAGAGGTTTGTTGTAAAAATATATTTTATTTAATTCTTTTAATTTGCTTAGAGTATTGGTCCTCAGCCCCATTTATCATCATATCTACCTGTGGGTATCTATAAATGCCCAGATATCTGGCCACATGTGAACATATTCAATCAGAGTGTCTGCATGGTGAAGTTCTTAATGGTCATTTCTTCTTCTTCTCCTTCTTCTCCTCCTCCTCTTCCTCCTCCTGGGGGTGGAAGGAATCAGGGAATGAACTCAGGTGCACTCGACCACTGAACCACATCCCAAGCCCTATTTTGTATTTTATTTAAAGACAGGATATCACTGTTTGCTTAGGGCCTCACTTTTTGCTGAGTCTGGCTTTGAATTTTTGATCCTCCTGTCTAAACCTCCTAAGCCGCTGGGATTACAGGTGTGTGCCACTGCACCCAGCTCCCAATGGTCATTTCTTACACCATAATTAACAACAGCTGCCTTTGAGTATTCCCTGGCATTAAAACAATTAATATTAATATTATTCACCATTGATAATACCACTACTTCCAAGAACTTATAAAACTTTAATATTTGCATAAAACTCCTACTTTGTGGAGATGCAAATTATCCTCTAGACATTTGAGTTCTTGGTATCTCTTCATGGTTCCATTCTCTTGTATATCTGTCCCCCAGAAGCAACTGCTATCATGAATTTGGTTCATTTATTTTCCTCTCAATGTTACCATAGAAGTATTGGTTTAGGTTTCTATGGAAATTTTTCTTTCAAACTTACCTTAAAGTTTCTCAAGTTTATCTAAGTAGTAACACCTATTGTCCCTCAAATACACTAGTGTCCATTGACATGTGGTTTTATATCTCCTTGTGTAACACATACATTGACCTCAAAAGCTTTGTACTTTACAAAGCATTACCCAGGAAAAGGACATCATTTAGTATGTCAGTTTATTGTGGCAACAATCCTTTAAACTTCCTGTGACTCTGTCTGTATAACACAAGTTAGAATTTCTATGTGCCATATTTATGGGAGATAGTTGTTTGACCTCCAATAATTGATGCATGCTCAATTTTAATATTAATTATCTACATTTGATACTCTGATCAAATCGGTTGTTATCAATTACATCATTGTATTCTTCAGTTATACTATCAAAAATATCCCTGCATTCTTTTTTGTGAGAATCCTTCCACAAGAACTCATGAAGACATTTCATAATGCATTGGGAATAATATTTCCAATTTTCACTAGTAGTGGAGATAGGAGACTGGAGCACAAGTTAGAAAATGAAAATTTTAGTTCTGGATCTTGGAGTTGCCACTATATACAGAATGTGTGTAAAATATCTGTAAACTTGCACATGCTAGGCAACTGAGCTACAACCCCAGCCACTCTGATATTTTTTCATACTTCCTCTATGCCATGCAAGTTAGAATAGAGAATCAGAGGTGAATAGAGCTAGTCATTCTTGTCCAAATACCTGGCATATGATTATCAAATATAACTTTTGCCTCAAAACAGAAATTTGAGAATGGTAACTTCAGGCAACAGCATATTTTGGTTGAATGGTAGGAGATTACCCTTATAATTAATAATTAGTATACATAATAATATCTAAATTTTATTTTGCATTATTTAATACATTCATCACATTATAATCACATGGGAGCATCCATTATCTCTTTATTCCTAATTCAATGCAGTTGTATCATCAGTAGATCAACTCAGATGACAAAGTTGTCTTCGAAATACTAACAATCTTCCCCTCTGAGAAGAAATAACAAATGCAATAGATAGTGATCAAAATTAAACAATCAAGGGGAGGACAGAGCCCCCATAGAATGGGATAAAAATCTTTGTCATCTTCTCTTCTGACAGAACATTAATATCCAGAATACATAAATAACTCAAAAATTTAACATCCAAATCCCTCAAATATCGCAATAAATAAATGGACAAATGAACTAAATACACATTTCTAAAAACAAAAAAACAAATACAGATGGCCAACAAATATGTGAAAAAAATGCTAAACATCCTTAGCAATCAGGGAAATGCCAATAAAAACTACATTGATATTTCACCTCCCTCCAGTTAGAATAGTAATCATCAAGAGCACAAATAATAACCAAGGCTGGAGAGAAGTCAGGGATTGCAAGTTAGAACATCAACATGGAAAGCAGCATGGGGATTTTCCAAAAGAGTAGGATTGGAAACACCATGTAACCCAGGAATCCCATTCCTTGGTATTTACACAAAAGAACTAAAATCAGCATACGATAGGGACACAGGCACATCAGTGTTGGTATCAGTGAGATTTGCAATGGCCACGTTATGGAACCAGACAGGGTGTCCATCAATAGATGAATGGATAAAGAAAATGTGGTAAATACACACAATGGAGGTTTATTCAGTCATACAAAGAAAGAAAATATGTAATTTGCTGATAAATGGGTGAAACAAGAACTTCATGCTACATGAAATAAGAGACTCGAAAAGCCAAGGATCAAATGTCTTTTCTCATATGTGGAAGCTGGAGAAAATATAAATAAATAAAAATGGCCCTTAGGAAAACAGAAGGGAGGACAGTGGAATAGAGGAAAGGGCTCAAAGGTGACAGAGGAAGGAGGGAAAGCAGAATCCTGGGTAATGAAACTGACCAAATGAAGCTAAGTGCATGTACAAATGCACCCCAGTGAATCCCACTTTGGGGTAGAATTAAAATGCACCAATTTAAAAAAAATAGTAATAAGACCACTAAAGTAAAGAAATAGAATCAGGGGGAAGGAGAAGGAAAGAGATAGGAGAGGTCCCAGGGAAAGAAATGGACCAAATTTTGTTTTGCACATGCATGAATAGTCCCAGAGTATTCCATTATTATGCATAACTATAATAATAGTTATAGTATAACTATACTAATGTAAAAAAATTCAGCAGTCATTGTCTGGGTGTGATGCAGTAATCTTGTCCCTTATTTCCCAATTATCAGAAAGTTTTAAGCAGAGGTCCAGAACTCTGACCACTGGTACATCTGGAGAACCCTTTAAAACTCTCCAGTTTCTTGTGTAGGAATGAAACCAAGAGGTGGCATTGACTCCTTTGAGACTGAGTGGGCCAGTAGCAAGGAGGATGGAGAGCGCTTCAGAGTGTCCTGCAGTTGGGAGAGGTCTGTGATGAATTTTTATGTGCCCCTGTTTCCTGTGATCTCTGTCCTTGATCTATTCTTCCCATGTTGGATGTGGTTTCATGTCAACTGCTCTCTCTTTGATCTACCAGGAACACCCACAATGAAGCAGAGTGAGCGAAGGGTCACTTCTGGAGTGACAGGAGTGGAAATGGCAGATTAGCTTGTCAAGGAAACAGCCTGCTAGGGTTCTCCTGCCCAGAAGCCTGGTGTCCATATTTAGACCACCTCAATCAAACAGATTTACTCATCTCTGCCTAACAACCTGGCAAAATTTTCATAAATATAATATTCTTTTATTTTCTATATAATAATGTGAACATGTGTAACTAAAGAAAGGCTCTGTGGAGACTCTGAGATGAGCCAAGCTGTGTGAAACACAGCTCTGAACCTGGCATTTAGGAAGCCCTTGGTGATGCATCACAAAGCTACGTGTGCTGC